ATACGATGACATAATTTTATTTAATGAAAGATTAGAGATTGAATTAAATTTTTTAAAGTCAGAGTGCAAATGGAGAAGCAAAGGTCACGCATTTATTTTTGATTGGAATTGAGATTATAATTATATAAATATGAAGAGTTGTAACCTCTCTTTTTGGCATGTATTTTTAATATACTCTTATATCAATTTAATATATAAGACAGGGATTTGTTATATACGTGTTTAAATAATGTTATTGTAATCAAACTTGCATTTATCATTTTCTGAAAATATAAAGGGAGAGGGAGAATGTGTGTGTTTCTCACAATGCATTTAATTTTGAAATCTATTAAATATATTCTTAACATTAAATTTTTTTATTTTTTGAATGAAAAATCATAACTCAAAAATGAAAAGCATTTAGAAATTGTGTTTTCTTCGAAAAAAATAGCTAAAAATACTTGTTAAGTTATGTGACCCAAATTATCAGAATCATAGCGAATAATGTATTACGTATAGTACTTACGAAGGAGAGATTTAGAGATTGTAATATAATAAATTTGGAATATCCTTTCTCCCTCTCTCTCTCTCTCTCTCTCTCTCTGTGTGTTAATCACTAAAAGGACGTCGCTTTCCAAAAGATGCGCCGGTTCTCGTTCTCTTTGACGTCGACGTAACGACGCGTCAGCGAGAAGGTCAGGCTGCATCGCTTCGTCTTAGGAGCGCAATTACAAAAGTTTCCCTTTTAACGTTAATTAATGAGAGAGTCCGCCGTACCGTACTTCATTATGGCGCTATCCATTACGGAGGCGGCCTCTTCTCTCCGAGTTGGGCATGCTTTCAATTCTCCCTCGAGAGAAAGATCGTGCCAAACTGATTTACGAAGAGCGATTGACTTTTTTCTCCTTCCCTTGCATAAAGTTAACCTCGTTAACCATAAAGATCCACCGCCGCGGATACGTCTCGATCTGCGAAACATGCGATTTCGATACGCAGATCACGCAAGAAGCCGATATTTCTCGAACTCGATCGCTGGTTAAGGTATCCCGCAGCAAACCGCAATCTTCGATCGCGTTCTTCTCGATGAAAAAAAAAAAAAAACGTAAGTAGACCGATACGTGTTCGTTTCAGGCGACAAGGGATGAATAATCATGTACGTTGCGCCAAACCTTGACGATCCTGAAAAGGAGAGTGATTCGCAAAGGATATATATAAGAAACTGACTTTGAACTCATGTTGTCATTCTCCTTAAGACATAATAATGTTATCACTGATTGCAAAAATTTAAAGCATGCATATTGTTATATCTCACGCTGCTTTTACGTAAGTAATTGTAAGAATCATCCCGGCATTCATGAACGAATTCGCGCGCGAGCTTGCTAAGGTCAATGAAAGTTCAATCAGTTCATTACAATTTGTCCTCGCATAGACGCGAAGAAGACGATCTACGTTTATACATGTACCAAAACGTTTACGTTCGCAGATGACGCGTTCGAATGATTACCGGTTCGCCCACAGATTTTGACGCATTCGCCAAATACGGAGTATCGAAGTCGAACTCGAGAAGCCGCGCGTACGTCTAGTTTTCCGCCCACATCGTGACCCGTCGTCGCTTTTTACGGGAAATACGAATATAGACGGGTGTCGTGCTTTCGCTCCTTAAGTGAAATTGTCCTAAATAAATGTGCAGAGTTTTTGAAAACTTTTTCCAGATCGATCGTGGTCGCTAAATCGCGTTTCATATACGGACAAGTATATCTACAATTTTTTAAATCAAATATAAAAATTGGATCGCGTTGTGAATCTATATTTTTCGGATAAGAAATGTAGAATTATTTTTGCTGATTATTTAGTTCTCCAATTCTGATTCTTAAGGTTTTTCTAGATAACTGTATAGATATATAGAACACGATTAACATCTCACAAATATTTTTCACAATTAAAATGGAACTTACGAAAGCTTGATTGCAAGTACCTGTTTTATATTTCGAAATAAAGACAACAGACCTCGTTTGCATACAAAACATTTATTTTACATGTAGTTTGCAGATATTATTTTATAATTATTTATTTTATTTAAATTGGGTGAATTAAAAATTAATTTTATTTAACAAATAAAGTAAATTTAAGAAAAGTGAATTTAATTATATATGTAAAAAACTAAATTGTAATATATATATATATATATATATATATATTTATTTATTTATTTATTTTTTTCAGCAAAATATTTGAAACACTTAAAACTAATTAACTGCTTAAATAAACTTGTTTAAATCTTTGCTTTATTAAATTTGCCTCATTGATGAGTTTAACATATATTCCATATAAAGGAAACAAATAAATAAAAAAATTAACTAATTTACAAACATTCTTACGCAAGATAACATACAATTTATTGTGTTATATATCATCGTGAAACGTCGATGATGATGTCAATTTATTTTTAATAATTCTTTTTAAATGCTATACATATATATATATACAATATATTTTACACGTTGTATAAATATGTAATAAATCAAATCTTTTTAATCATTTTTATATTTTATATATTATTTAATTTGCTATATATTCTCACTAGTCTGCATTTCTTTATATAACATGCAATAAATTTTTAAACGCTATTTATCATACGATGTCATTCCTATCCGTAATTGTCTCCGACAATTGTAGCTTTGTTCAGCATAATGACACATTTCATTACATATGTGTATTAAAATCACCGTAAGAAACAAGCGTTCATTAAAGTTAATAAACGTTTGTATGTTTAAGTAAGTGTACGTGAGCATTTTTTTAACGAGCAAGACACCTCGCATGTTGTCGCATTGTTGTTTTGACGTTTACGAGTCGAGTTTACATCTCGATGCGAGAGTGCGATAATATTTTCATTAAATGAGAAAATTGTTCGCTCGATTTACTTTGAAGGACATATATATATACACAACAGGAAAAACACAAATATGAATGACTTAAGCACAAGGATGAATGATTTCAATGTTTTTGCTTGTGTGCGGCGTATCTCGTGACTTACTACTTTTTTTAAAGCGTTTTCTTCGAGTCAATTTGTACAATTGGCAGCATCTTATAATTGTCTTATAATTTTAGCGCTATCGCGCTTTTATGCCAATGAGTCATTATTTGACATATATAACAACGAAAGACACTTAGCTTCTTTTAAGACCGAAAATTTTATCTTAAAATCAAATCGATTAATCGCGAATTTTTGTCTATTTATTTAGATTACAATTAATATAAGAAATAAGATGATAACAAGACTTTTTTTGAAAGTATAAAAAACATTTGTATTTAGTCATAATTCAACACAGTAATAATACATTACTCTCTTAAATAGTATCGGTGTGCTATTACTGAGCAGTGTGTAATTTCAGTTATATCACTGCAAACAATGAAATCTCAGTGGGAAGAATCAGTCAGTGATTTCTCAATGAAACCTTGCTATAATCAATGAAACATAAGACGAAGAAGCAAAGTGTGTCTTTACTAAAATACTCAGCAATTTTCAGACATCTTGTCACAGCTTTAATCGGTGACATTTTCACTGATTCAATTTAAGAGAGCAAGGAGGGAACAGCATAAAATATATTCAACATTGTCGCAATCAGCGAGTAAATAATTTATATCTCATGCAACTATGCGTTTCATAAGGTATGTTTCATGTGTAAGGAAAAGATAGATATATCTATTTCTTATATCAATGAGAGTTTGAGTCCGTTTGTAATAATCGGCGAGGCAATTGCTCCTTTTAGAATATCGCGGCTCGTTAGCCTCATCTCCGCAACTGACTCCAATCGTCTCTAAATAATGGACATTGGCGACACTTGTCCGTCACCCGTCCGGTTATGAGGGACGCACGAGCTACGTCGTCGTGTGGCCTACGTCATCGCTCGGTTTACATCGTCGCATCACGATGGACCGGTTCTGCCGAGGTGCTCCCACCTCGCGATTTCTCCGTCGCGTTCGCGACGCTCTCGTCGACCGCGATTTTTCTCATTGCTAAACGTAGCTTCGAAGGAAAAGAATATTCTCGCGCGTATGAATCATTACACGTTGCTAATATAGAAATAAGTATCAAGAGGAAACACACTCTTCTCGGCTCGCGTGTGGAATAGGTACCACGCCTTTACGCCCATGGGGCTTCTCTCCTTTATCCTCTCTCTTGTCCATCGTTTTTTTTTTCATATTTTGCCGCGTAACGACGTGATTTGTATGCGTCGTATTACTTACGATTAGATTGTATATAATTTTCCAGCGGATTGTCATTTTTCTCCTCCATAATGGAAAATATCGACCCTAACGCAGGAGAGAGAATCAACGTACGATTAAAGCAATAAAAGCTTATAGTAACAGGATTTAATTGTAAAAGTTTCACTTATAAATATATACATGCACGATCCAGAATGTACGTTTTGCACGGGTTTATCTGCGCATATAGAGGGGAAATTTAGTTCGGAATTTTATCCGCGTATACAGTGTGTACGAGAAATCAACAGGTGTACGCGTGCACACCGATGCAGGAAAGATAAAAAGACCACATCCTGCGTTTATGTGTGCGTTACGTAACCGTGTACCGATGCGCGCACGTGCGCACGAAGCGCGTCTATGTCTAGTTGACGTAACGTTAAATATCATCGAGCAAACTTTCATTTTTGCGCTGTACATCGCAAAATCAAGCAACGATGAGACGTATAATCGATATATAAAACGTCTCGTTGTCAGTTTTTTTATCGCATGAGATCACAATTAATTCAGTCAATGAATGTGTTTATTATTTCTCCATCTTGTATCCAAGAATTAATATCGACGACAGTCGAAGCGAATATGTTTCGTAACGAGCGCTGGAATTCCGTTAGCCGCGCATTGGAATTCGACATATTCGCGATCGACTACGTTATCGCTACGCAAATATGCGCGTGACGAAAAGAAGTCGTCAGATAAGCCGCGACGGAGACGAAGGAGGACGGGTTCTGGGTAATCTGGGGCGCATCGTAACAATAATACAGAGCGATGTATATACACCTGGTCGTCAGTAGAGGTGTATCCCGTGTGCGCTTCAACACTTTATTGCGTTACCGGTTCGCATATAACGAACGCGAATACATCCCACGCCGTGTGTGGGACACACGAGGATGGGTGGTAACGTCCCACGTATGAGCGTACGTGTGCAGAGGTTCGAAAAGTAGGGATATACCGGTGTTCTTCAGGCATAAAAGGTCCATGGTCCGCGTATGTCAGTGTCAGTGAGAAAAAGAGAGAGAGAGAGAAAGAGAGAGACAGACGTGTGGTCACCTAGACTAGTGACGGCAAGTCACCGCTGGTGCCACATCGACTCGCGATATCGAATCGAAAACATCGCGTCGGTCTTACGCGCGGATTTGGAAGTCGTTCCGACCGAGTACTTTTCATCGAAAGGAAAGAAGGGAGAGCGAGAGAGAGAAGAGGGAGTCAGAGAACGAGAGGGAGTGCTTTAAGTTTACGTTAGAGCGAGAAGCACGCGAGCAAGGAGCTCGTATTTGACGCGAGCGAGAAAGTTCCGAGGCTCGTGTACAGAAGAAACGAGTTTGTAAACGAGGCCGGTCACAGAGCGGAGCTTCAGTTCTCGATGAGCGATACACGCGAGCGGTAAAGTTGCAGTGATTAAATAATCATGTAGGTGTGTGCGCGCGCGCGCGTAAGTGTGTGTTTCAAAAAATATCGCATCTACGACGATTACGAATCTTTTGCACTCGTGTGAAAATCATTGTAAGGTATTAAAGATTAACGAATTCAAGCAATTCTAAGCGCGATTGGAGGAGCGTCGCGATGCCTAATCACAAGAAGAGCGCGACGTCGAAGACGAAGAATAAGGGGACCACGAGGAATGAAGTGGCGACCACGTCCTCGGATGTGGTGACGACCACGGAGACGGTTGAGGTTGTATCCTCGACCAGCGTGGTCGAGGAGTCGAGACAAGTAACTGAAAGCGAGGTCAGAAGTAGCACGAACGAGGTCACGAGCAGCGGTCGCGAGATCATCATGGATTCTAAAGGTAACGTAATCAAAGTTATTGAAACATCCCCGCAGAGAATTCAGCAGAGCACGTCCAGCCATAAACTCGGGAAGAGTTCTCAGGACTTTATAGCCGGAGAACAGACGCAATCGATTAAGCAAGGGAAGACTTCACGCGAGGACGCAAAATCTCTCTCGAGAGAAGAATCGTCTGACCTGATCGATCAATCTGTGCAAAGTCAAAGTCAACAATTCATCTCTTCGAGCAGCTTCGTCGAAAGTTCATCGACGAGCGAAGGTCACAGCGGAGATCACGTTCCCATAATTCAAACCTCGTCACGAGCGACCGAGAGTACTCGCGCAAATTCCGAAACGTGCGAGATGGTGACAAAAGATGGCCAGACAGTGTCAAGTAGAACGAGAATTCGCGAGACGGGAGAGAGAATCGACGACAACGGCAGGGAGATATCCACGTCGAGTCGGGAAGTCGATCGTACAATCACACCTTCCAACATGACTGTCAAAGGTGTCGACGAGACCCTCGATAAGAGTTCGCGCGATTCGAAATCGAACATCGAGGTATCGAATCGCTGTTACAAGCCCGGCCAATCCGCGTGGGATGGCACGTTTGTCTACGAGAAGCCCGTCACTCCCAGAGGCAAGAATGTCAGCGACAAAACGGTATCCGTGAGTTCAAAAGTTCACGGCGACAGCGAAACAAGCGTTAAAGTCAATCAAGAGACCTCCGCCACCGAGGAGGTTATCAACCAGATTTCGAGCTCGACCGTGATACGAGATTCAAAAACGGTCATCGACGAAGATCAGCTTTCCACGACGACTCGTCTTCGCGATAACGCGTCGGAGAAAATCGTCGCGGACACGACGGATTTTGCCGGCAAAGAGAGACCCTCGAAGGGACCGGTTCGTACTTTGAAACTCGGCAATTCCTCGTGGGACGAAAAGTTCGTCGCGGAGAAAATTACGGCGCAGCCAAGACGACGTACCGCCGATTCTGACGTCACAACATTCCGCGGCGATAACGTCGTGGAAACGAGCGAGAGAAGAGATTTTCGCGAGAAGAGCGTGGACGGTACATACGAAAAGAAATCATCCGAGAGTGTACGCGTCGTAAAGGGCGCCACTGATAGCACTAATTCATTTCCGAAGAGCGACGTGACGTAAGCAAAGAGAGTTCGACTCGTATCGACGATGCATCGCCAGGCAGAGAAGGACATCCTACTCGCGTATCCAGTCCGTCTCATCGAAGAGTCGGCAAACTCGGCGATTCCGCGTGGAATGGTGAATTTGTTTACGAAAAGGCAGGTCAAGACGACACGAGAAAGCGCTCTCCCGCGGATGTCACCGTCGTTCGACGAACGGAGAAGCATCACGACACTGTGGACGTTCAAGATGTCACCGAAGAGCAGAACACTTCCAACGTATCCGAGTCGGTCTCCGCTTCTTACATCGTCGAATACGCGATCTCCAATGACAAGAAGAACGTCGAGAAGGTCACGTCGGTGTCCGAGGTGATCCTGGAGGAAGATGCTGAGGATAGAACGACGCGTGGTCCAGGTAGCCCTGAGAGACAATCGAAACGAGATGCGGGTTCACGTTGCTATAAACCTGGCCAGTCCACCTGGGACGGTACTTTCGTCTACGAGCGACCGCAGACGCCTGATAGCAGGTGTCGAAAGCCGGAGGACAGGCGTTCAATAAAGACCATCGATATTCGGGATGTTACGGGAGATAACTCGATCAACGAAGCCGATGTCACCAGTACCTCTTACATCGTGGAACATTCCTCGAGTCAGCAGAGCTTCTCGGACGTCAGAGACGCCAGTCTCACATCCACGATTTACGAGACAGTCGTGTACGAGGGTCGTCCTGTGGAAATGACTATTCGATTCGATAAAGATTCGCCTCGAAGCCAGGTTTCGAACGTCAAGGAACGCCAGTCTAGTCCCTCTCCGCGTCTTACGAGTCCCGAGAAGATATCTAAAGATAGAGATCTGCGGAGTACCAAATCCGGATCGTCTACGTGGGACGGAACGTTTGTGCTAGAGAAATCGCCAGAGAAGAAAAGACCGCCTAGCAGAGAATCCACTGACGGTAGAATATCGGAGAAGTCTAGTCCGGTTGACAGCAAAGGAACATCCGTGGATAAGTCGAAGAAACATATCAGCGATACCACCATCGAACTTCGAAATGTCACGCAGGATGTTTCAAGCACGTCGGAGATCGTGGAGAGTTCCGTCATTATGGAACAATCGAAAATGCACGAATCTTATACGGATTCATCGAATCTTGATTTCTCGACGACTTCCGTCGAAACTGTCATCATTCGCGACGGCCAACCAGTAACGACGCAGAAAACGGTGACCACTATTCAAGAAGGGCCGGCAAAGAGATTATTTGCTGATGACGTAATCACCGATGTTAAGGAGATTACTTTTAAAAGTCCAGAGAAGAAGAAAGAGCCTCGAACGGACGACAAAAGTTATCGGCCTACGAAACCAGGTTCGTCGACGTGGGATGGATCTTTCGTGTACGAGAAGTCGGAGGAGAAGAGAAAGACACCGAAAGATACGCGGATTGAAACTGATAGACGTAGCCCGACTAAAGAAAGGCCGACTAAGGTTACGGATCACAAAACAGTTACGATATTAGATACATCCAAGAGATAAACGAGCGTTGCTGATTATTCTACGAGCTCCACCACTGTCGAACAAACCTTTGTCACCGATTCAAAGACATATGATGTATCGAAAACTTTCATTGAAGATAGCACAGAGGATAAAGTGCACGCGTTCGATCAGAGATCGAGACAGCCTGTCGACGAGAAGCCGAAACCATCTCCGCGACAGCGTCCGGAGGATGCTAAGAGGCCGAGAGATGAATCGAAAAAGAGTCCGGATAGAGCATATCGACCTTCAAAGCCAGGCGCTTCCACTTGGGACGGATCTTTCGTATATGAAAAACCACAAGAGAAACCGGGAGATAGGAAGGCAGCGAAAGAGACTCTCGAAATTGTGGATAAGCGGAGTCCGATTAAAGAAAGACCGAGTGATGTCACTGATTATAAAACGTCTATCACGATATTGGATACTTCGAAAGATGTAACAAGCGCTGATTATTCTACGAGCTCTACCACCCTCGAACAAACCTTCGTCACCGATTCAAAGACATATGACGTATCGAAAACCTTCGTCGAAGAGAGCACAGAGGATAAAGTGCACACAATCGATTACGAGAGATCGAGACAGCCTAAACCGTCTCCGCGACAGCGTCCAGAGGATGCAAAGAAGCCGAGAGATGAAGAACCGCGGAAGAGTCCGGATAGAACATATCGACCTATGAAGCCAGGCGCCTCCACGTGGGACGGTTCTTTCGTGTATGAGAAACCGCAAGATTCGCGAAAGCAAGCAACAGGAGAAGCGATCGAGGTGCCGAGAAAATCGCCAGGTAAGAAACCGGCCTCGACTCCGATCTCCCGTAAAGAGCCGGATGAGAAGACTCCGCGGCTGGATGTCATCGGGACTCGATATGTCGAAGACGTCACTGATATCACGCGCACGTCCGAAGCGATGCAGCGATCCTCTTACGTAATCGATCAGTCTTCAAGTTTTACTTCCGTGCAAGATGAGCGCGTCATCACTGAATTTACTACCAACGCGCGCAAGGATGTGGTGAGTAACTGCCAGACATTAGAATGCTTCTTTATTACCTGCTCGTGGCAGAAAATTGTTTTTCAAAACTACGAGTCACAAAATATTTTTCCGAAATAATATTTATAAACGAGAATATTAATTCTCTTTTCATATCTATTAACAGAAGTATATATAGAGACAATAAATCACATATATATTATATATTTTTATATAATATTTTATAATATATATATATTATAAATATATTATAAATTTATATATACTACTTTTGCTGTATCTTGATAATAATTGACGACCAGATATCGGGCAGATGAATAAAAATTATATCGAGAGAGTCATTTTGAGTCCTTGCGGAAGAGACTCGAACGATACTTTCACTTCCCAAATGGGCAAATCGGCGAAGGCTAGTAGGTTTATGTGTGTGGCGCTGTTGAAAATAAATCTGACGTAATTCGGCGGTTCGCAGGACAGAGGAGGGTCAAGGGTGTAAGAAAAGGAGGGAAATTTCGCGTTTTGTTTAACCGTCCGAGACGGACAGCGTTACATTTCTGATCTGAAATTTCTGCACGGCCGAATCCCGATTCGTCGAATTAATGCAAAGCTCGGAACGAAAATCGATATTTCACGTATCGAGGCACGCTCGCAACTCCTATCTCAATCGTTATATTCTAATCGCATTATCTTAATGCGCGCAATCGAGAAATTTATGACGACGCATTCCGGTAATATCATTATTGATAGTATTATCGTTCCTGACGCGAGAAATCGCGACGTGGTAACCTTTGCTTTTAGTTAAAGATAAAGTAGACTGATTTATATGTAAAAGAATTCTCATTTTTAAGGAAACCGTTCACTTACTTTAGTATAATTATTTTAGAAATCATATCAAACTACCATATTATTATATAATATTATATAATATTATGTAATATTATATATGATGTTATCTCGATAAAGTTATACTTTAAAAAGTATACTTAAAAATCATGTTAGATATTATCGGCAAAGATAACTTATGGAGTAAAAAATCATTACGATTGTTTATCGTAGATAAGATCTTATCGAAATCTAGCGTGTGCCGCGGGCACGCACAAATGTAATCACCTGTAATCAAGTTGAATCGAGGGTGCATAAAGTGACAATAATTGCATCTGATATCAGCAAATTCGGCAGTGATGTCATTGTCCGATGTAGTCCACTTAATGCACGACCAATTGAATTTCACGCGTGTTCCGCCTCGCTTATCGCGCGGTCGCCTCGTTTAAGTGCCATAGAAATCTTAGTTAAGAGACGCCGCATTAATTGTAAGAGGGAGAGAGAGAGAGATGAGAGAGAGAAAGAGACACGTGTACAATAATGTCACTTATCACGTCTGTTATGGCATTGATAGCAGCGACAGATAATGTTAAAAATAATAACGATATATGACGGCGAAAGCGCATATTACATGTTGCGATAATTCATTCTATCCCTGCACTGATAAACACGTTAAAATTTAATTCAATATTGATGTTTCGTAATCGACAAATAGACAATCGCGACATCAACGAGTTTTACGCGACAACCTCGCAACTTCGGCGGAATGTTTTCATAGAATGTGGGTCGATATCGAACGTAAAGATAAATGCCACGGATGTGACACTTTGGACTTTACTACTAAAAGAACTAATAGTACTCCTACAATGCGCTGTCTTCAGTGGAAATTAATTTTTAATCAGCTCTTCCATTTGATAATTTCGGTTCTTTTTTTTGTTCAATTTGCCCTTTTTTTAATAAAAGCGAATTATTCGATCTTTCTTTCTACCGCGCACCATTCTCTCGTAGTTAGGTAAGTTCTTAAAACCTTGCCTCGCGTAAAATTTTATGATTAACGTGCACGTTGCTTATTAAAGATTTTCTGCGCCAGATACTTCTCGCCGTTAACGACAGTGAACTTCCTTAACCGGAGATGCGCGGAACAATCTGAAACTTCATCTCCCACGCTCATATAGCGTTTCGTGGGAGTATCAGGATCGACATTCTGGAGTTCATCCAACGTCATATATAGTTAAAATGCTCGAATGCTTCTTTCAAGGATACTCAGTTAATGTAACGACGACTTATCGCCGATAATTTGCAGATATTTGTACGAACGAATTAAAAATAGACATTAGTAACCTATTATACAGACAAGTCGTTCCCTTTAGATAAGTTTGTTCCAATTCTCATAGTCGTGACTTTAGTACGAGGTCTCGAGATGATCGATAAAATGCTTTAACGCTTACAGTCCGTATTTTCCGCGAGTATCGCTTATCTATCTTCTCGTCAGTGAATATATGTGAGTGTGTATACACTCGTCTATATATATATATATATATATTGAGAGCTACTTCCCGTAAATCTTTGAGATTTCCGAAAGATTCCTTCAGTCTCTTCTGTCATCTAAAGATGCTCTGCGAAATACACTTGTGATTATCTCCGCGTGACGTCGAAACGATCTGTCTCGATTCCATGTGTTACACGGACGACCCCGTTGTTTTGGATTGTTCAACATGCAAACAGCTATATAGAGAGCGTGTCCTACTTGCATGTAGGCGCGATGATGTGAACGACGTGATATCTACGAGCACGCGTGATCGCGTTTTCCCGGCGCATCGGTATTACTATTTTATGACGACGCGAAACGTGCAACGCCTGTATTACGACATCGATAAATATGTGATATTTTATTAACGGAAAAACTCGCGCGATTTTTGCGTTCGCGATCATAGTTTTTTTCTCTCCGTCAGACTTTCAATTACTCCATGAAAAATTAACGGCGCGCAGACAAGTGTCTATACTTTTTTGCCTAACACGTAAAAAGTTTTTTAAAGAGAGAAAAATTATGCCCGCGCCGCGCGAAAACTCTCATGGAGAGCCGAAATTATGTAAATGAGCTTCATTATGAGCGACTCGCTCGTCGATATCATCAAGGACGGGCAATCAGCTTAAAGACCCAAGCTGCTTAAACCGCTAATTAAATGCCAAAACTTTATTTGATGTGCTTTATGCGAATTACGCTCGAGTGTTAAAAACGGAGAGTAAAGGATTTGACTAACAGTATCAGCAAACGTTATTTGCTTCGTTATAGAGTTACTACGTCAAGTTGGAGAACGAGCGTGCTCGTGAGTCTAATGAGCAGCTCCAACGAACCGAAAATAAACGCGCGAAATTTTTGAGCAAATGCATAATGTAGTACGGAACGATAATTTGCGGCATTTCAGTGCGCGTTTTAACGTTAAAATGATCAGTGAAAGCACAAGATACTTTGAAAGTCTTCTACATCTAGGTGAAATAAATATGAAAATTTGCTAATAAAATAAATTTCTTTGTACAACAAATTGTGTTTTGCCTCGACAATATCGTCCATTTGCGGTCTATTTCTAAAAGTCGTGCGAAATTAACGACAAAACTAAGTTGCAAAAGTACCACGATTCCACGGTTCGGCAAGCGACGTTATACGATATGTTGTTAGCATAAAAGCCACATATGCACCAATCTCGTGTTGCCTGCATTCCGTCGAACTAAGCACTACCGGCGTTATACTAATCTCGCTTATGCCCGCGGCGCTCATTATGCATCTACGTTTCAAACCTGTAATGAACGCCCGCGGAAAAACAAAGCCGCATTACGCCTTCCAGTCGATGCTAACGTGCCTTCAAATGTGTTGCTGTCAAAGTGTAGCATACCGATTATTAGCATACCGACGATTAAATCTGCTTTTTTTTTTGTTATGACATTGACTTTAGGCAAATGTGTCTAACGTAACGCTACTGTAAAGACATTACGAACAAAGTAGTTAGCTAAGTTCGTAAGTGACATAGCTAGCGAATGAATAACTGATAACAATTTTTATGTTACAATGAGAATTACTTGGTCATGACATACGTCTAATAAAAGTTAAATGTATGTACTCATAAAAAATGTATATAGTAGTATAACTTTATATTTTACAGATAATTTACAGAAGCGTGATAATGTACTCGACGTTATAATTAACATCGCAATTTGCATTGCGCGTGATCAGCATTCATTATTGACAGAATGATAATCATGGCGACTATTGACTTTATATTATATATATATTAATATAATATAATAAGATATAGGATATCCGTGCTCCAATATCTTCAGGTATCAATAGGATCAAAGATTAGGTAATTTATTTTTATCGTACTTTTCAGAGAGATGTCACCGAGTCAACGAAGGAATTCATTGACAAAGAGCAGGTGACTAGCATGGTAGCGCGAGATGTCGTCGATAATACCAGATTCAATGCGGATACCGGCTCGGTACCCCAATCTCCAGCGAGTTCCACGAAGAAGCCGTCGCCGGAACGACCTGGCTATCCTCGCGGAATACCTGGACTTAGGAAGGACGATCGACCAAAACCAATTCCCGCGGCTGGGAAGCCCAGTCGACCTTCGCAGCGCGAAAAGAGTCCTCAGCGACCGGCAGAACACGACAGGTGAATAAAAAATGTCAAGAATATTTTTTTATTTGTTATTATAATTTATAAGAAAATTATTAACGAGCTCGCAACTTTGCCAATCACAGAAGACATCGTAGAAAGGATAAAGATATATATATATATTTATTTTTTTCTTGAAATATATATTTAAAAATAAAAAAAAGCTCTCCGAGAAGAAGAGAAGAAAAAGGACGAAAATATATAATTTATAATATATAATTTGTATATTAATATTTAATTTTTTGTTGCAAAAAGACCTTCTAAGGTCCGACCTAAGTCACCTGAGAAGCTTCGTGATTATACATCGCCGACCAGAAAGCCACAACCAGCAGCCGGCAAGCCAAGTCGACCTGCGGAAAAGCCCGAAAAGCCAACGAAACCAGAACAAGATGACAAGCCGAAACGAGGGGATCAGATTCCAGATTCTCTCGACAAGGACGCAGAACGCCCTAGACCGATACCGGATATACTATCGAAAATCCCCTTGAAGGAACAATGTATTTGCGAGCTTTGCACTTGCGGGTAAGTCTTCTCCCTTCTACAGCTGAATATTCTTTTTACATGAATATACATGAAAAAAGAAACCGATATAATTTAATTCAATCTAAATTACATTATTAAGTTTATTAAGTTAACATTTAAAATTTCTCTTTTTTTCTCTGATTTCTCTAATTTTCTAATTACTCCCGCATCAACAATTTTATGTATAGAATATAATTAACAACTATAGCTAGTGCGAATATGATTTAATTTAACTTATCTGCACGTTCTCTGCGGAGATGAACATGCCTGACCTACTTCGAAACACTATTAACAAGATCAGAATACAAAACTTGCCGGAGTCGAGATGCAAATTCACGAGAGGAGCACAAGAGATTGTCTTCAAGGCCATCTTTCCTACTCTATTAAATTCATTGCAATAATCTATTTAAAGCCCGGACGTAGGTACAACTGCTGTGTGTATACAAATGTCTACTATATCGCTCTTTAATATTGTTGCAATGCAAGATATATATGTTACTGCTTCCTATATAGACGATTACAAGTTTGTCATCAAAATAGCTTCCATTCTTTGCATTAAATGATTTTTAATCGCGACCTTCTTGTTTAATATGATTCAATTTTTGCTACAAAAATATTGATAAATTCATTAAAAAAAAGTAAAAATATCTCATCCGCAACTTTTCAGGACACTCTATATACGTATGCATAATGTGCAAAAGTAGAACACGAGACAGATCCTTTTACGGCAAGTTGTTTCTGGGTGATGGCAAGTCATCGCACAGGATTCTTTCCTTATTCGAACTTTTTCCAACCTACGTAGCTTTATATGACAATGACGAATCGTATAAATTTATGATACAACTTTGATAATTGCGTTAGACATCATTTTTTGAAGGATATTTATCGCCTCTTCCCGGGAGAGCGGCTGATTATATATAGAACAAGATTAATGTTGCATTTTTAGTTTCTTTCGAGTTTTTCATACAAAAATATCAAGCTGCGAAAAGAAAGTTAAGAGACATTTAAGAGAGTGTATTTTTTTTAGCTCTATACTTAATTTGGTATATGTAATTTTTTCAGTAATGACAGCAATTGTGTGATATATTTTATATACACGTGTAAATTGAAATTGTCTTGTCATTGAAAACCTTGACCTAGATAAATAAAGGTCTCGATAGCGTAGATAGATTTGCGAGCGAGAGATGTAAGCTCAGGGAAAATTAGTCGCGTCGTGACCGTTTCAAGAAGTAATTGCGGTTCGTCTGCTGATTAGTCGTCGGAAATTTCTACGTAAGTCTGCTTAACTTTGAGAGATCTGATATAATTTCTCTCTTCTGGTTTAACGTGGCTCTAAAGGAACGTTCAGAACGCGTTTATAACGCAAAGTTTTATCCAAAAAAATACATGAGAATATACTCGACTCCCTGAGATCAAGTCTGACATTTATGGAATTGCATTCCGACACTAAAAAGAAGAGTAAGAGGGAATGACAACGACTGGAAATGTCGATACTACTCGATATAGTTATACAGAAGTAGGGTATCTCATACACGCGAAATCACGCTCTCCAAATAAGTCGAATTGCTCTGCATAAAATATTGGCAAGGATACTTGTTTCTTTTCTCTCGCCATGTACAGGTAACCGATTGCCTTCGAAATGTTAAGTATTCCCATCGGGATATGTGATGCGTGCCTCTCAGAAAGGGAAATAATGGTAGCTTCTCATTAATTAATTGCGATCGAATGTCGAGAGAAAATTTTATAGGTAAAAGTATCGTATAACATTTTTAATGCAATTACATTGTACACAAATACTTGTTTAATCAGGCAAAGAAAGAATGTCTAATTAATTGAATATGTATATATAAACAACTCATTTCATGTTGGACGTCGTTAACATGTGTGCTGCATTGTCGATTTGACTTTTAATTACTTTTTCCACTATGCGTCGCGTGCGTGAATCAAGCGTACATTATAATTAAGTTCTATCGAACAAATTACCTTATCCAACTTATCATAAAATCTCGCGTTATTTAAAAATGTTTGTTTTTCATTTTAATAACACATAATATGTAATATTAAAAAATATTATGTAATATTAATGTGATATCTCAAATGATATCTTTCAAACGCCATGTGGTGAATAAGTTAATCATCGTAATCTGAATACTTAATGAGCCTCGTTAAAAAAGAGTAGCGTCTATAATGTGGTTACAAGTGGTCGCGTGACAATAACTGCCTATAGACTCGCAATTACATAAATCCGGGATATAGTTTTTGCTACAGATTGCAGTGAGATTTACATTTCTATATCCATCTCGCGCGCGGTAATGGCGCGCTGCAAATATTAACTTCGAAAGTAACAAGACAATTAAAATCACGACACAAGCGCGCGCAGAGACTTTTACATTCATTATAAAAGGATTGATGCCCTTTTGCGTCATATTTAAATCTCTATACGCGCCATGCCTTTGTCATGCACCAGCTTCGTTCGAACGAATATAAAAGCGGATAACAAGAATTTTCTGCGAAGAAAAAACACTTTTCTTTCTCTTTATTAATATTAAACAGGTATATATATGGTCGTTATAATGTACATAAGAATAGATGAAATTTTGTTTAATCAAATATACGGATATTTCTATTTTTAATATAGATATATACAATTCATTAAAGCACTCTTTTTGTTGCTGTTTTTTTTAAATACGAGAATGCTTTTCAAAGCATACTCGTTCCTCACGCGAGCTGAGAAACAAATGTAGACATTGAACCTACCTTTTTATTCTAAATTCTAATAGATGGTAATATTTTAGACGTCATCGCTGCCCGCACAACTTGCCTCAAGAACAGTTCGAGTTTTATTACGAAGAGCCGGTGCATACTGTAACTTCCTATCGCCAGGATTATGATGAAAAACATGTGGAGAAACAAACGAAATTTTATCATGAGGATCATCTGCATACAGAGGGCGAATTTATTGGACAAAGGCGAACCGATTATGTTGCTACTAAAGGCGAGAGAGCGCTAGTCAAAAAACCGCAAGACCATCTCAAACCCGAGGGTGAATTCGTCAAAAGACCGAAAGAGGAAGCACCTACGAAAGGTGAGAGGGCACCTGTGAGAAAGCCAGAGGCTAGCTTGAAACTCGAAGGAGATTTTGACAGTAAGTTTTCACATTTGCTTGATTTTCCATTCAACTGCTGTCTGTCATTTTTATATTATAAATGTCATTTGAAGACACACACAATCTATCCAGCAATTTTTAAATGTAAAAAATTAAATATTTTTTTCGTAAAATTATATTCATTGTAAGATAAATATTTTTTTCCAGCTATAACAACAACGGAGCTAGTCTTTACTGGTACTCCCGGTGAACGACCTATCCCGATACGTCGCAATACTTATACAAAGATAGAGGGTGATTTCATTGATGAAACGACGACACGGTCTCAATATATCGATCATCGTAGTATTCAACGTGCTAAGATAATCAAACGAACGGATAATCTTACTGTAGGAGAGGGTGAATTCACGGTAAGTAATAAATAATATCGAATTTTGTTTTCAAAATGTTTATAACATTATTTTAGTTATTTATAATATTTTTGAATTTATCTTACACTTAATTTATCTATGTATACTTAAATTGATTAAAAAATATATATACATATTTTAGGGTACCTCTCATATAAAGGAGGATTTCCAGACTCATATTATCGAGCGTGAACCTCAGTTACGACCAAAATACCCTGAAGACATCGATCGATTCTACAGCAAGACCGATATCACAGACAGCATTACGACCACCCAAGAACAATATCGGACTTTCGATCAGGCCGATTACAAAAGCACTACTGTTGTTAGAAAAGCTGATAATCTGAGACCTGAAGGACCCTTCGAAGCATTGCCTCATACGAAAGATGATTACATTGCACCGATATTGCCACGCAGGCCGGAATTACAAAAACCTAAAGATAATTTAAGATCCGAAGGACCATTTGAAGGACGTCCTAAGGATGATTTTACACCAACCAGAGGAGAACGCGCGGATGTTAAACGCCCGGAGGATAATTTACGGCCAGAAGGACCATTCGAAGGACGACCTAAAGATGATTATTCACCTAAACGCGGAGAACGCTTTGAAGTAAAACGACCAGAGGATAACTTACGTCCCGAAGGACCATTTGAAGGTCGACCTAAGGACGATTATCGACCAACTAAAGGCGAACGAGCTGATGTTAAACGTCCTCAAGATAATTTAAAACCAGAGGGACCATTCGTAGGACGTCCTAAGGATGATTATACGCCAACTAGAGGAGAACGCGCGGATGTTAAACGCCCAGAGGATAATTTACGGCCAGAAGGTCCTTTTGAAGGTCGACCGAAAGATGATTACAAACCTACTAGAGGCGAACGCGCTGATGTTAAACGGCCTGAAGATAACTTGAGGCCAGAAGGACCATTCGAAGGACGACCTAAAGATGATTATTCACCTAAACGCGGAGAACGTCCTGAAGTAAAACGACCAGAAGATAACTTACGTCCCGAAGGACCATTTGAAGGTCGACCTAAGGATGATTATCGGCCAACTAAAGGCGAACGAGCTGACGTAAAGCGACCGAAGGATAATTTACGGCCTGAGGGTGATTTTATAGATCGTCCCAAGGAGCAATATACACCTGGTGAGAAACGTACGCCTATTAAACATGCGGATAATTTGTATCCCGAAGGCGACTTTGAAAGACCTGAACCCATACCTTATGGTCCTGGTGACAGAGCGTCTGTCGTGCGTCATCCAGATAATCTGTTTCCAATAGGAGAATTTCCAGACAGAAAAGTCGAGCCGTTTAAACCAGCTGAACGTAGAACTCCTTTTAAATACAATGATAATCTTCGTCCAGAGGGTGATTTCACTGGAAGACCTAGGGATGATTATAGGCCAACCAGAGGAGAACGTGTGGACGTCAAGAAACCGGAAGATAATCTGAAACCGGAAGGACCATTTGAAGGCCGACCAAAGGACGATTATAGTCCCAAGATAGCCGAGCGCCCAGAAATCAAAAAACCAAAAGATAATTTAAAACCAGAAGGATCTTTTGAAGCTCTACGACCTAAAGATGACTACAAGCCAACTAGAGGTGAACGTGCTGATGTTAAACGTCCCGAAGACAATCTGAAACCAGAAGGACCTTTCGAAGGACGACCAAAAGATGATTTCAGACCGACGAAAGGAGAACGTGCAGATGTTCGGCGTCCGGAAGACAACTTACGACCTGAAGGACCGTTCGAGGGTCGTCCAAAAGATGATTATTCGCCCAAACGTGCTGAACGTCCCGAGGTAAAACGTCCAGAAGACAATCTACGTCCTGAAGGCGACTTCGAAAGACCAGATAAAACACCTATCAGTCCAGCAGAGAGGCGCACTCCCATCAAACATTCGGATAATCTAAAACCCGAAGGCGAATTTGAACGACCTCGTCCGGATGATTATCGTCCGGCAGAGAGGCCAAAAGTTAAGAAGCCAATAGATAATTTGAAGCCTGAAGGTGAGTTTGAAAGACCTCGTCCTGAAAAATATGCTCCAGCTGAAAAACGAACGCCAGTGAAACATCCGGATAATCTTAAACCGGAAGGTAAATTTGTTGGTAGACCGAAAGAAGATTTCACGCCCACGAAAGGCGATCGCGCAGATGTTAAAAAACCAGAAGATAATTTGCGACCGGAAGGACCTTTCGAAGGACGGCCGAAAGATGATTACCGACCGGTGCGAGGAGAACGCATGGACATTGTTAAACGTACCGATAATTTGCGCATGGAAGGAGATATAGAAACATATAGATCGAGAGATGAATATACTGATTTCTTGATTCGCGAAAAAACCGAGATTACTAAATATCAAGATAACTTACGTATGGAGGGAGAATTCATCGATATGAGAACGCGAGACGATTTCAAAGTCGTTAAAGGCGAACGCGTAGACGTTGTGAAGCACCGTGATAATTTAAAACCAGAAGGACCTTTCGAAGGACGACCGAAAGACGATTACAAGCCGACGAAAGGAGAGCGTGCAGATGTTCGGCGTCCGGAAGACAACTTACGACCAGAAGGACCGTTCGAGGGTCGTCCAAAGGATGATTATTCGCCCAAACGCGCTGAACGTCCCGAGGTAAAACGTCCGCAAGACAATCTACATCCTGAAGGCGACTTTGAAAGACCAGATAAAACACCTATTGGTCCAGCAGAAAGACGCACTCCCATCAAACATTCAGATAATCTAAAACCCGAAGGCGAATTTGAACGACCTCGTCCGGATGGTTATCGTCCGGCAGAGAGGCCAGAAATTAAGAAGCCAATAGATAATTTGAAGCCTGAAGGTGAGTTTGAAAGACCTCGTCCCGAAAAATATGCTCCAGCTGAAAAACGAACGCCAGTGAAACATCCGGATAATCTTAAACCGGAAGGTGAATTTGTTGGTAGACCGAAAGATTTCACGCCTACGAAAGGTGATCGCGCAGATGTTAAAAGACCAGAAGATAATTTGCGACCAGAAGGACCTTTCGAAGGACGACCGAAAGATGATTACAAGCCGACGAAAGGAGAGCGTGCAGATGTTCGGCGTCCGGAAGACAACTTACGACCTGAAGGACCGTTCGAGGGTCGTCCAAAGGATGATTATTCACCTAAACGCGCTGAACGTCCCGAGGTAAAACGTCCAGAAGACAATCTACGTCCTGAAGGCGACTTCGAAAGACCAGATAAAACACCTATCGGTCCAGCAGAAAGGCGCACTCCCATCAAACATTCGGATAATCTAAAACCCGAAGGCGAATTTGAACGACCTCGTCCGGATGGTTATCGTCCGGCAGAGAGGCCAGAAGTTAAGAAGCCAATAGATAATTTGAAGCCTGAAGGTGAGTTTGAAAGACCTCGTCCTGAAAAATATGCTCCAGCTGAAAAACGAACGCCAGTGAAACATCCGGATAATCTTAAACCGGAAGGTGAATTCGTTGGTAGACCGAAAGAAGATTTTACGCCCACGAAAGGTGATCGCGCAGATGTTAAAAGACCAGAAGATAATTTGCGACCGGAAGGACCTTTCGAAGGACGGCCGAAAGATGATTACCGACCGGTACGAGGAGAACGCATGGATATTGTTAAGCGTACCGATAATTTGCGCATGGAAGGAGATATAGAAACATATAGATCGAGAGATGAATATACTGATTTCTTGATTCGCGAGAAAACCGAGATTACTAAATATCAAGATAACTTACGTATGGAGGGTGAATTCATCGATATGAGAACGCGAGACGATTTCAAAGTCGTTAAAGGCGAACGCGTAGACGTTGTTAAGCACCGTGATAATTTAAAACCAGAAGGTCCGTTTGAAGGCCGTCCGAAGGACGACTTCTCGCCCAAAAAAGCAGAAAGACCTGAAATTAAAAAACCAAAAGATAATTTAAAACCAGAAGGCGATTTTGTACGCCGACTCAAGGAGGAAGCACCGAAAAAAGGTGAGAGAGCTGATGTCAAAAAACCGAAAGATAGTTTACGACCAGAAGGAGACTTTGAGAGACCCGAGAAAGCTCCTATTGGCCCAGCAGAGAGGCGTTCTCCGATTAAACATGCTGATAATTTGAAACCGGAAGGCGAGTTCGAGAGACCTAAACCTGAAGAATTTAAACCCGCGGAGAAACCAATTGTAAAGAAACCGCATGATAACTTGAAACCGGAAGGCGAATTTATCTCTAGACCAAAAGAAGAAGCGCCGAAAAAAGGTGATAGAGCTGATATTAAGAAACCGAAAGATAATCTTATGCCCGAGGGTAATTTTGAAAGACCGGAGAAAAAACCAATTGGTCCCGCTGAGAGACGTTCTCCGATTAAACATCCGGATAATTTGAAACAGGAAGGAGAGTTTGAACGGCCGAAACACGAAGGATATCATCCAGCAGAAAGACCTCAAGTAAAGAAACCATCAGACAATTTATATCCGGAAGGTGATTTCGAAAGGCCGGAGAAAAAGCCACTTGGTCCAGTGGAAAGGAGAACTCCGATCAAGCATGCTGACAACTTGAAGCCAGAAGGTGAATTTGTAGGCAAGCCTAAGAAAGAAGCTCCAAAGAGGGGAGATAGAGCAGATGTTAAAAAACCTGAAGACAATCTTAAGCCTGAAGGAGACTTTGAGAGACCCGAAAAATCTCCAATTAAACCGGCCGAGCGACGAACGCCTATTAAACATCCTGATAATTTGCGGCCTGAGGGTGAGTTTGAAAAACGTCCAAAGGAAAAGACGCCTCTCAAAGGCGAAAGAGCAGATATTACGAAACCGAAAGACAATTTGCGATCGGAAGGTGAATTTGAAAGGCCTCAGAAATCACCAATCGGACCAGCAGAACGGCGGACGCCAATTCGACACGGCGACAATCTCTATCCGGAGGGTGAATTTGTTGGACGACCAAAGGATGATTTTACTCCCAAACGGGCTGATCGACCGATACAGAAGAAGCCCAAGGACAACTTGAAGCCTGAAGGAGAATTCGTAGGTAAACCGAAAGACGATTATAAGCCGACTAAAGGAGAGAGAACCGAGATCGTGATACATCGAGACAACTTGAAGATGGAAGGCGACATAGATATTTACCGATCACGAGACGATTACGTCACCACGTCTAAACGTGAGCGCGTAGACGTTGTTCATCGCGAGGATAATTTGAAGATTGAAGGCGAATTTGTCGATATTCAGCGACGAGATGATTATCGAGTTACGCGTGGTGAACGCAGCGAAATTATCAGACATGAAGATAATCTTCGTCCCGAAGGTGATTTTGTGCGTGAACGTCCGGAAAAGGTACCGATAGGTCCAGCCGAGAAAAGATCTCCCATCAAACATCCTGATAATTTGAAACCAGAAGGTGATTTTGTGCAGCGGCCAAAGGAACACGCGCCTACTAGAGGTGACCGAGCGATCGTTAAGAAACCCAAGGATAATTTGAAGTCCGAGGGTGATTTTGAGAGACCAACGAAGTCGCCTATTGGTCCCGCTGAACGGCGATCACCCATCAAGCATCCCGATAACCTTTATCCGGAAGGCGAATTTGCCGGTCGTCCAAAGAAAGACACGCCATTGAAGGGTGACCGAGCGGATGTGAAGAAGCCGAAGGATAATCTTCATCTCAAAGGAGAATTTGCGAAACGTACACCGAAGAAGGTAGAGCCAGCCGAACGAAGAACGCCGATCAAACACGAGGACAATCTATATCCCGAGGGAGACTTTTATATGGTGCCTAAGGACGATTTTACTCCGAAGAGAAGCGATCGTTCGCCGGTCAAGAAACCCCAAGACAATCTTCGTCCCGAAGGTGAGATGAAGATGTCCCCGAAGGACGATTACAAGTACGTAAATGGAGAACGCGTGGAAGTGTGTCGACATGAAGATCACTTACGTATGGAGGGACAAATGGATATTCATCGTTCGAGAGATGATTATAAGAAAATTACGAAAATGGAAAAAGTGGATGTTAAGAGACACGAGGATAATCTCAAAATGGAAGGCGAATTTATCGATGTGCGTCGCAAAGACGATTATGTACACGTGATTGGTGAACGCGTGCCAATTAAAAAACATTCGGACAATCTTCATCCGGAAGGAGATTTCGACAGACCCCAGAAAACTGTGGTCGGTCCCGGAGAAAGAAGATCGCCTATCAAACATCCGGATAATCTAAAGCCGGAAGGTGATTTCGAACGTAGAATCACGGATAAAATTGGTCCCGGTGAACGACGATCGCCGATTCGTCACGCTGACAATTTGAAGCCCGAAGGAGACTTTATCGGACGCTCGCGCGATGAATTCATCCCCAAAAGAGCAGAAAGGATTGAAATTGTCAAGAAAGAAGATAATTTAAAAATGACGGGCGATTTCGAAGATACAACGTCTCATAGATCGACCTACAGGGTCGTGCGTGGCGAACGCGCGGACATAAGGTCGCACGAGGATAACTTGAAAATCAGCTCCGGCACTATGGAAACGAAAACAACTAACAGTGATGCTTACACACCTTCTAAACCTTCTCCCGCTGATAAGACGGTGAATCGTCGAAGGCATATGGAATCATCTATCTCGCTTGGTGACGACACTAGTGTGATGACTACGACGAATCGACGTAACTACAATACTTATACGAAGCGTACAGGAAAAGATATTGCTACTAAGATGAGTCAGATCGAGTCCGATGCAAGAAAAACCGTAGAATCACAAACTCTGACAGATGGAACAGTTATTACAACTGTAAAACGTACCACGACTTCGGCTCAGTCCGATCAAAGAGTCGCCAATGCTCACCATACTGCCACTCATCAACAACAAACACAACGTGTTACCGATCATCGTACCATCCAACCGATCGAAGAATCCTCATCTGGACCTGTGGACTCGCGGAAAACGATATCCAGTCAGCATCACGAACAGCATCAGAGAATGCATTTAAGCGAGCAACATCTGCGATCGCAAAACGTAGCACAGACTCGTCGAACGATCGAGGACAGATCGATCACGGAAGGACTGAATCATCGAGGACAGATCGTACGAGGAGAAGATACGTCTCGTCACGTGATCGACGTCGGCGAACATCACCACAGACACCAACATCAGCACCATCAGCACCAACATCAACACGTCGAGCGTCATCATCAAGAATTGAGTAAGCGCGATTACGTGAACACACAACACATGGAAAGTCGGCAGAGATCTGCGAGGCAGCAGCATGAGCAGCACACCATCTCCAGTCAGGCGCGATACAATACGAGCAGTCCGGAATTCCGGCAGACGATCAACGGGCAAACGATCGTGGAACGATCGCATGTCGATTCGGCCAAGAAGATCGGTCATCATCGCAAGAATGTGATATCCTCGGCGACCGACGTCAGCAATGCGGTACTTTATCGCAGTGGTGGAGTCACTACGTCCAGCGAGGCGCTTCACACGACCTCGTCGACAGCAGCGGATCAACGAAAGAGTATTTCGAATCTAGCCGAGAGCGGACAGTACATCAGCAACTCGAGCCACAGCAGCGACAGACACAGCTTGACCTCGCTACATCGCAGTTCAAAGGAGATCAATCCTTGGGCCTCCTCCAGCTACGAACGCCCACAGAGAATCGTGCGACATGACAACCTGACTGTCGGCGGAAAGTTCTATTCGCAGAGCGAAGCGAAGAGCTACGGCAATTTCTCGCAGAGCTCTCAGAAAGTGGAACGGGTGCAGAGACAAGCGAATGCATCTCACATTAATTTAGGCGACGGTAGTACCGTCAGTTCTAGCATGTACAAGAGGGAATACGTTCCTAGACATAGGGGACCGTGTCCAGCCGCTCTTCTAGAAGCAAAACAGGCGCCCTTCAAGCATACCAGAGACACGCAAAAACACAAGTTTTACTTGCCCGTTATATCTAACTAAATTGGACTTATCAACTTATCAAAATTTCACGTTTTATTGATGTATTTTCCAAACATATTATGCTTATATGATTTTTTGCAAAAAATGGTTTATGGTGATATTTATACATAATATAAATATCCATTATATAGCATATATACATATATATATATATATACTATATTGTTTGCTGAAAGCTCTATATTTTATAATTTTTATATAAAGATATATAATTAATAATTATAATAATAATTAGTTATTATAATTATAAATAATATAATTATAATAATAATTAATCTTTATAATTATCAATTTATTATTAATTTTATATTAATAACTATAAAATTATAAAAATATACATACGTATATACAGATACGTATTTTTTTTATTATAAATCTATATTGTAAATCTTATTTTTCAAGGTGCTAGAATTTTGCCATGACTGATCTGAAAAGGATTGTTTCGATAATTGGGGCTGTGATAAACTCACGCTATTGAAAAACATTAGATTATCTTATATCTGTAAAAAATTATTCTAAATGAAAACGATCGTAATTATTTATAGTCATTTTTAAATTACAATATCAACAAACGAGAGATTCGATCTATACGTGATAAGTGTCTCTTGTAGCAATATTAAAAATATAAACTGTTGAAAAAAATATATATACATATATACAATTATGTATATCATTATATCGGCGATATAATATACATTAATATACGCTATTCCTTTTTTAGGACAGAATCGCAAATGAAAATAATTATATTGTCGATATGTATAAAATATCGATTATCGCTAACTTTTGTCTGTCCACAAGTAGGTGGACACCCGTTACAAATTCCTTTCTTCTTAAAACACGTGTATACAAAGCAATAACTAGAGCTTAAATCCGTGATATGATCGGACTTGATGGAACGTTAGTTTCGTCCGATAATTATTAGGATAGTATATACGCGCATTATGTTATTTTCTACTTCGCTGACTCAAAAATACAAAGTTATTATATTGGCAATGAGTTTTCTCTGTTATATTTTATTTAATTTGTAGCTTATTTTATTATCGCACATATATTAACATTAAATTCTAGGAATATGCTTTCAATATCTTACAAATAGAAATTATACATTGTATTTTTTCTTTCCTCCTTTTTTAATTGATTTATATCCGTTGTAAACGGATTTCAACTACTGGATGTTGGTTTATTTACTTTATATATAAATCGAATGTTTATTTTAAATTTTTGAATAAAATTGATTTGTAATTATATTTTTTACAATGAAGTTTATTTGTTTACCTTCACATTTATTTTATTAATATCCTTGCGTGATTGAATACGATAGGAAATATTTGTCAGCATTATTTGCTGTTTGTACAATACAACGCTCATATATACGTACATCGATGTATAATTGTCACAGAGATTAATTAATTAATTTATTTATAAGGAGATTATATACATAAATGAAAATCGTTTTCTAGTCTAATTAAAGACGATTAGGAAATATAATATAGTACGTGTTCACATTCTCATCCATCAAACAAATTTAGATGTCAGTATTAACTTAATTGAGAGCCAAAAATCTGCCATTAAAAAAAATATAATAGAAGTGTATATATGTATGTGTATATTGGAATGACAATCGGATTCTTTTCATATCAATACTGTTAGCATGACCATAGGCTGTTCGCAAATAATGTGAATGGATGAGGCTTTATGGGTCACGACTGACAAAAAAATCTCAATTATATTCCTAATAATTTTTTCTGAAATTTGGTTGTATAGACAATAATGGCTCTGGTGCGTATACTAGATTTTACGCACCGTGGAGGTACGCAAAAATAAATATACGAAAGAGACATCGAGAAAAATAATATTTTTTTACTATATTTTTACTAAGTCTTGGAATATGTATAAGGCAGAGTATCTCTAATAACTGTATCTAAAATAATAACTTTTAAATTAGTTATTAAGTCATTTAATAGCGCATAAAATTATTATAATTTTTTAACAACAACATTGATTTTTCACATACTTCAATCTCGTTACTGTTGTATAAATATACTGTTATAGGCTATAGCTAAATAGGAAAATATTGTATAAAAGAGATGCGATATATATGTATATACAATACATATAACTGGTATAAATTTAGATAAACAACGAAATAAAAAATAATGTATTTTATATTTTTAAAGTTTTTTCTAACACAGAAAGAATTTTTAATTATATCCTAATAAATTTTTTATCGAAATAGACTAATGCAAAGAAATCTGTTTTTCCGCTATATCATAAGCCGAACAGTAAAGTGAGCTTATAATTCATGAAGCATATTTAAAAAGAAATATGTAATTATTCTATCTCTTGACTTATGTTTTTATTAATAAGCTACTGACACAGTGGCCTTCCTAGGTCACCGTAAAATCGGACAGAGATAATTCGACTAAAGTGGGAATCTCACTTGACGGACTTCGGGAAAGCTCAAAAGTGCAGAAGAAAGTTTGCGTGTAATATTTGTTCGCATTTGTAATGGATGTATAAACAATTAACAATGTGTACAATCGATGTGCAATCGATGAAATGTGACAGCGCGCACTTCTATTCTAGTAAGATAAATATTATTATGCGGCAAAGAAAACGCACAACTGCGGCGGATGTTTTCATATCACGAGGAGAAGTAAAATATTAATTATTCTAACAATACATACATATGTATATGTAAAGCAAGATGATTTAAAGCTGCGGTACCGTTATTACCTGTTCCTCGAAGCATCTCTCTCTCTCTCTCGTTCTTTTCTTTTGCCTTCGTCGTTATACTCTTAAGATATTGAGAAGAGAGAAAGAGGGAGAAACAAGCATCGGATTCATCGTCTCTGTAGGCGATTGCGTATCACACTTTTTCCCTTCGCTTTATCCCCCCTTCTTCCCCCCTCACCCCCGGCTGCTCGATGCCACGCGTGAAATCTCAGGGTTGTTAACCCCCACAATGAGGTTGCCGAAAATTTCGCGCCGTAATGGAAGTTTCACTTCGCGGACCACTTTCATGTCTCTGTCTCGCGGAAATTATAGGCTCTCTGCCCCTTTAATTACTCGATCGCTCGAATTCCTGCGTCAAACTTTCGATATGACCGATCAAACGGAACGTTTTGTTGTACGAGCAAACGCTGAGAACTTTCTACCCGCACCGTCGACGAATGCATCGGAAACGCGCATAATAATAAGTGAATCGTGACGATCGATATATATTTCGAGTCGTCATTTTTATACAAACGGAGAATTTTACGCACACACAAATATATACGAACATTACTTACTTTATGCTCATCTTTTACAAAGTATCGAGCGCAACGTGATATTGATCGGTAATCGTATATTTATTTTTATATTAGATATCTGTAATCTATAATTTTTCTTTTAATACGAGCTCCAGTTTCAAGTCGCAACGGACTCGTTTTCTCCAAGTAACTCGTTGAATAATAATGTTTCTACTTTGCGTTATCGCTGATTACATATCGTACGTCTAATTAAAGTAGCGCCGAACCGTTACGGGGCTTCGTTTACCAGATATACATTTCATTGCTATTACATAAATAATTAAGCAAAGAGATCACTAGTTACACGCGAGTCCAACGATTAAGACGCCGGCCTATTAACCGCTAATCGACGTCGATCGTAATTACGCGGCGCGAAGTGGCGCACGATTCTACGGAAGCGATTCGTTGCCCTCTTTTCCCGACCTCTCGCGACCTCGTCGCGGTTCTATATCCCTTCAAGGGAAGAACAAAGGAACAAAAAATTTATAAAATTGAAAGAATAATCTTAATGTACGCTTACAATAGGGTATACATTCCTCGGATGCAGCGCGACGCATACTTTTACCGAAACGAGTAGGTATGTCAAGCGATTTTTCTCAAGCACGTTTTCTCGAATATGTAACGCGCGAAACGCGGAGAGAAGTACAAAACAGCCGCCCTATTAACCGGCAATCGGCAGACGTCGTCTAAGCCGGGAAGTGGTACGATTTGGAATGGCGTGCCACGCCGAGAGCGTTGTCCTCTTTCGTTCGCTACCTGCAGGCGGTCATAAAGTCACCTGCCGCATACCTGGCTGCCTCGCCTGGCTCGGAGGCAATTACCGCTCGTTTACCTCTCTCTCTCTCTCTCTCTCTTCTCGTTCTCTCCCTCATCATCGCGAAAAAAACATTCGCTTTCACGAAAGTCCATGTCGCGACTCCTCGTATAGGTCTCTCCTTCGTTTACACACGTCATACAGCGTCGCTCTCTTGCGAGACGCGTTGGAGAGGACACTCGAAGGGATCTACCGGTGAAATCCATAGACTTTTGCACGGCTCTCGCGTTTCTTCCGCGAGGAAGTAAGCAAATCTGGTACGCGAAGATATATGTACGATAGATACGATCGTCGTGAAATTTTTGACATTAGATACTTCTTTCTGTAAATATCCTATACCTAAGACGCGTCTCCCAGATACGGCTGTCGGCAATCGGAGAAAAAGTAGACAAACCGGTCCAGGTCTAACGCTTGTAATTCTTTTCGCAGCACCATAATGCGCCCCTTTACTTAAGTATATCTCCGCCGACGAGTTATCGGACGAAATTCTTGGCCCCGTTGCACCGTTCTCTCTAACACGCGCTTTATAACGCGTACGGCTCCTCATTACGTATATACACGTCGTCATCTATCCAGTTCTATCAAATGGCTGGAATCGCGATCACCACGCATGCCGTTAAACGACCGAATTCGTTACGCCTGCGACCACCGCCCGGCGATCAAAGTCGCCGATTTTCTCTATCATATATGCACGATTTCACGCGCTCGTGCGTGAACGCATGTCGCCGTGATTTTACGGTCACGAGACCGTTCGTTAGCGTGTCCCTTATTTGTAAAGTAGATGGTCGATACTCCTTTTTTCTTTCTATTCTAGTTGCGTTACGAAAGTTTTACATTTTCTTTTCGCAGAGTAATGGAATTTTAAATATCTTCAGAATCACGTTTCCATACCTATATATGTATAGCTTATCATTTCGCTTTTTCCAAGAGAACTCCACGAGAAACGAATAAATTAATGGAAAATGTGAAAAAAACTTTCCCGGAAAAATTACAATTGTAATATAACATCTGTGTGAAAAATATTAATTGTTGCACCTTATCGTTCGCTATAAACGGAAAGTTGTGAAAGATTTTCCAGCCAGTCACGGCAATAAGCTGTTCACGCTTGGTGCATAGAAACTATGGAAAAAACACCTGTCTTGGGCTGTAATTTTATTGTCGGCGCGAGAAACCAAAACGCGTATATATGCGTTTGCAGCGGCGCTCGTTCCAGCAACCCAGATCTCCGGCACGATGGAAATATACCGTTAAAACGCGCCACAACAGGCTTGCAGCCGTTACTCCTCGTTCGACGAAACGTTGACTGGCAGGAATCTCCTCGGTTCCTCTCTCTTTCTCTCTATCTTTACCTCGCGTGATCGGTTCACCCGCAGATCGTTTTCGCGAGAAAGGACATTCGAAATTTTTACGGATAAAAATAACACATTTGTCGCGCGATTTCAGGTACACATGTCCGAAAGTATTTATAAGCGCGCGTCATCATAAAGATAAAGACGATTGATTAAACATATATGTATATGTAATGTCGCATTAATGATAGAATTATCCTAAAAAATCCCAATCTTTTATATATATTGTGGAGTGGAAAAAAAATGTGTTTAGAAAAAGAAATAGATCGCGAAAGCGCGCGTTGACTATGGTCAGTGATTCTCTCCCCATCTCTCTTAGATCTGGTTTCACCTACATACCTACGCATTGTGCTATATTAGTGAATTTCCGGCATATTCACACCCGCATATTCTATGCGGCGCTCGCACGATCTTACGAAGCGAAAGTGCTCTTAGCTCGGCGAATTATCGCCATCGGTGGGAAAGAGGATGGCATTCAATATAATTCCCACTCGGGGGCAGATTCACACCTCGCGCTACTCTATTACCCGAGTTTCGCGGTTTCGCAAAGCAAGGCATTACCGCATGTCCGACACGTCTGATGAGATTACGGAGATATGTATATGTATGTATAATCAGGTGCGAGAGAAGCGGATCGCGACGACGCAACTGGAGTAAAACACCTTCTTTTTCCCAGCGTTCAAGTCTCCTCGAAGCACGTGATTCCGCGACGTATCACGTGTCACACGTCATCGCGAGTATCCTGGGATAATTATCGGAGTTCGTTTAGCGGGATTTTTTACGACTCTAGAATATATATACATATATTTTCTACGAAGTTTATTTCAAGTATATGTCGATTTTCCGAATCCATTTATACGTTCAGAATATTTGAGAACATGCGAAATCAAAGCCGGTCGTTATCATTTCCGCGTAGCGATGGCGGTAGACGTTTATGGCGCGATTACCTTTCGCACGATATATCGCGTTCAAATAACGTTATTGACGTAACTGGAGTAGCCTTCTTTCCTTTCCCGAAAGCTCTCTCTCTCTCTCCTCGAAGTGATCGAACGTCTACGGAAATAGCTGTCCGCGTCTCCGTTTTATAGCTAATTGTTTTGAAAGTTTGCGATATAAGTCACAATAGGATATAGATTGCATTGTATATTTAACTGCATTTTATCACTAATGAAATAGAGCGTTATGATAATGAAAACTTATGATAAATAGAAACTTGAGAAACATATGTTAACATACTTTCCAATTACGGTCTAATCCTAATCCATCCATAAATCGACAGTTTTCTAAACAAGAAACTGATAACTCGTACCATTTCGTCGAAATTTTTTGCAGTTCATGAATGAGGACTTTATGACGTTTAAGAGTCTATATTAATCTATAGAGAAGCACGGATTTACATATATATGTATGGCCCGAATGCGTGCGGGAATTCGAGATTTATTAGTCGCATCGAGGTAACATCCAGGCTGAGAAAGATCGTTCCGTGACGCGAAGTAGGAAAGTATAATATACACGAAGAGAAGGCGTATACGAGAGCTCACCGCCGCCGGCACTTTTCTCCTGGCTAATCGTTATGGAAAGTCCGTGGATAATATGGGACGTTGTGCGGAATCTCGCGTAGGATCGAAGCTCTCCGTCGTCGCTGATGCGAGGCAAATTACATACAGGGAGCTGGGACATGAGGAACGACTCATCAATCGAAAATCAAAAATACATACTCGCAAAATGTCGAGATTGTCGCGGGAGGACATTTAGCTGGCTAATATCCGTGGAAATGTTCTCTGAATATTCGAATTCGCAAAGAATTCATTCGAGCAATTTTCTCTCGTTTCAAGTTTGACCATCTCGTTGAAAGTCCAACGAATAATATGGGACGCAGGTAGAATCTCGTAGGATCAGTTCGGCACGTCGACGACATTACTGAGGAAAGGAGTGGTGCACCCGGAGCGAGAGAGGATGGAAGAACGGTGGTCGCCGTGTAAAGGAGACTGGCGACCTAACGGGGAGAAAGAGCGAGAGAAGGGAATGCTTGCGAGAGCGGGATGGAAAGTGGATAAGTGTGAGAGAGAGAGACACGACGAAGCCCGAGGAGGTGCACGATGAGGAGCGAGCGAGAGAAAAGAAGGGACGTTCGAGGGACGGTGCTCATAATCAAAGGAGCAACTCACGGCGCACGGAAGAAAGTCAGCCTCACCGAGCGGCTCATCAGTCCAGCACGGTACGGTGTCCCGAATGCACGTCGATTTTCCGCCGCGTGTCGCCGCGTTGTGCCACGTGATTCCGCGCCAGCGATCGCCACGCAGCAAGCCACGCGAACGCGTTCGTTCACCGGTTCCATCCGTGAACCATCGGTACCGTTCCGCCGACTCCGAAATACCCATCCGGTCGATCGACAGTCGATGCGAGACGCCGAGGTAGAGCGATTCGTTCGCGTTCGTCCGCGTTTCGAACGAGTCTCGCGTATATTGGAGCATTCTCCAGACTATTTTATTGCAAAACCCACGAGTATAGATTGTTGGGAGAGTGTGTGAAAGGATTAAAAAAATCGTGGATCCAAAGACCGAGCAGAGAATACGGAATTCAGCAATGCTCGCGAATGAAGGATGAACGGTACGTACCGGATGATAAACGCGTTTACAAAATTTGCGGAGAAATGCGAGAAAATTAAAGAAATCGTCGTAACGTTGAAAATATTAATTTTTTTTCTGCCCGATTTGAGTCGGTGGTGAACTAGGCTTCAGAATAAAGTGCAAAGCACTGCGAAAATAAATGTAAGCGAAATACGAAACGGTAACTTGTAAGGAGAATCTACAGAGATATGTACTAATAAATTACATTAACATTCGACTTTTCACATTGTTAATTATTTATTACAATGATGATTATATTAACATTTTCTAAATGTATATTCAACAAACATATAATAAATACGGTGTACGCGTCACTCGATATCAAAAGAATCCATTTAGCGATACTCTATATGCGTATATTATATGGCTTCGGTATCGTCATGGAAATATCAAATTATGTTGGATATTTTTAGCAGTTTAGCTTTAAGCGTTTAATCAAGATTTCATTAGAGATATCAAAGCTAATTAAACGAACAACGATAGCTTTAAGAGAAACGATCTTTATGGCAAACTGAAATGAGAACTGAAAGATCGACTCCAATTTTCCATTGTAATTAAAAAGATCTCTCGTGTAACCAGTTTGGAAATGTGGGTTTATAGCGGTGTGTTCTTCGTATTTTTTTTGCTTGCACGGTACATTCTCTTGTGCATAAATAATTATTCCCAATTTCGTGAAAGTTTCAGTCCGTGCACATATCGCTTCGGGTAGGAAGCGTGCGTTGCAAAAGAAATTATTATGCACGCGCTGAACGTGATTATCCGTCGATCGAAGTTATAAAGGGAGAAACAAGCGTTTCAACACCGAGGCGAGAATTTCTTGGATAATATGCGAGAGCGTGAAAAAGAAAATATTAAAAAAAATAATATTACTTCAAAGAAGATATTTTCACGAGATAGCACCTCATCGAGGTGCACCGTCAGCATATTTATAACAAAGAGATATAATTATCGGAGGATCAAGATGAAACGAAGCTTTTTATGGACAAAAACACTTTTCTTAGATCTTTTTCAGCGATTACGCATCTTTTCCCGCGATTAAACCGTCCGCGTTAAGTAAACATATACCGGTTTTCCCACGCTTAGTTAGTATAGTAACGATAAATAAATCGCGCTTTATTGTCATCCCCCTCTTCGAGGATACGCGACGTCGAAATTGACCGGCGTTTCATGATGGTTGGTATATCTTGGTGAAGCGAGGGAATTTAAATAATGAATGGAGAACACGTTGTCAAAATTCACGAAGCGTGTCGGTTTGGCGCGAGCGCCGACCAGTTAGTTATGTTGCATAACGCAACATCGTGTTTATATGGCTGGGAAAATGAGGAATTCCAAAGGCTCGTACAATTCCATTTAGAGAGAAAGGGCCGAGCGCAAACATTTCCGGGCGTAAAACATGCCCACACAAAAGAATGGCTTTTCAGAGATTCGCATCCCCATATTTGCGCTTCCCCTGGCGTTTCGATCATTTCAATTAGCGTTCAACATAGTTACGTTGCCGAGACGACGTTGCACGCGAGCGATTCCAAGCTTGTACGACATTAACCCCGTCTATCACGGCGAGCCTCACGTGCCGTCGACCCATTATATCGAAGGCTTGGCGGGTGGTCATAATAATTATAGCCGCATGTAAATCCTTTCCCACGCGCGAATGGAACATATTAATTAAGAGAGGAAAGCGCGACTCTTGTCCCGTATTTCTCTCTTCTCAAATTTTTTTCCTCGTCAATAAGTTTCCTCGTAAAATCTATATATAGTAGAAAATATCTTTACGATCTTTATGGAACGCATAATTGTCAAATGTATAGAATCACACTATTAGGATTAAACTGACGTGTCACACCGAGAAGCCCGATTCGGGAAACGCGTTCGGTTTAGCTTCGCGATATTTTTACGAGGTTTCGGTGCCCATGCTCGTTCGAGAACCAACGTGGCGGCAGCATATCGAGAATGTGGCGATCGGCCTGCGGCTACGAATTCCGTTACACGCACTTGTACGGCTCTCCGTGGATCTCCCTATACACTCGACCCACGATGAAATTTTTATGCCCCATCTGCCTCCGTGATTTTCGACGTTGATTTAAATCCATCGTCAGATCTCTATCGGCGTGAAACGAAATTATCGATCAAATGCGCGCCTTACTTGACGTAACGCAAAGAGAAAGATATACGTGTATATATTAGGTCATCATATATGACACGTAACCGAAGACGTAAAATATAGTCGACGATTGCGCGAATGCATCAGGATCAAATATTTGTATAAAAATAAACCAACTCACGCTTCCGTTAAGCAAACTAATTTTAGAGTTGCAACGTGACGAAGGAAATTGGATAGGAAACTGTCGCCGATACGCTTGATTAATTCCGAGAGCAGTCACCTTCTTCAGTTATAATAATAATCATTTAACGAATGTCATCGGTTTTAATGAATCTATATACTGTTATCTCGTGTACGGTACATTTGCTCAATAATAGATAATTTCAGTATTGCGTTAATAAATATAATCAGTATTAAGTTAACTTTTCTCTTTTCTCGTACAAAAGAGATGAGAGACGTGCTTGAATATGTGAAACACATACATTTGACGCTCGTCGGAGGAATCTTCTTACGATCAGCTGATTGCTCGACAGTGACCCCGGGTCAATCTACTTTCTACTTCTCACATTCTGCCGAGATCAGAGGTGATACAAACGACGAGAGGCTGTGCACGATGTTCCTTGAAGTGGAAGCGGACATACTTTCACGACGACGGATGGTATACATATCGTTAAATTATCGAGGATGCTGATGAGTGAAAACGGATGGAGGCGGTGCGCGTTGTTACGGGAGAAAAGTAAGGAAAGAGATTTATGAGTCGGGATTAGAGCTCGGAAAGTCTTCTCGACTCTCGAAAGAATATTTATGACAACCGCGGAAAATCGCGTCGAGGAAAAAAGTTTGCGCGGGACATTCATCTTTCTAATTTACCGGTTTGCGATATCTGATATGTGAGATAAAAACAAGCAACGAAAGCATATGTTCGATTGAAAAGTCTTTAGAGATTTTTTCAATATTTAATAAAACTTTAATAGCGCTATTAAATTAATTACAAAAAAAAGAAGAGAGAGAGGCTATCGAGAGAGTAAAATCGTCGCTGATATGTTTCTAATCTTCGAAATACCTGACGCAGAATGAAGCGAAGCGATGGCAGCGAGTGAAGGTCAGCCGCGGCGAAACAAAATGTCAAGCATAACAGAATACAGCTTACAGTTAGCGCATCTAGTCGAGTATACAAAATACCTCGCTCCGCGAGGAATATAATTTATAGCGACACGTGTCCTGCTTGTTTATAATTCGCTCCGCTACTATCTATGCGTAATGGCACGATTAGTAAAACGGGCAGGTACGACAAGAAACACGAAAGTTCCGTATTATAAGTTGGTCACGCGACTAACACCGGTATGCAGTCAAGATCGCTCAACGATCGTCCGCGATCCTCGGCGCTATGTGACACAATTTTTCTGTCGCCGTCTAACGTCTTCTCTGATGAACGATCTCGCGTGTCTCGACGGTAAATGGATATAGCTAGAAAATGCAACACGGCTGAGAAGCCACGTGTCGGAAATTTTCTCATCGCGACGATAGACGACTATATCGAGCGTTCTGTTAATTTTCTATATTCTTAACAAGATATGTACATAAACTTAAACAGAGGTTTTGTACTTACAAAAAAACTCCCGTCTTCCGATTACGTCACAGAATATTGTCTACAATAATTTGACCTGTTTTCAGGGAGTGGCTGAGATTCCAACGAAGCGTAAAGATTAACGAGCTTGCGCCATGAATTAAGAACGATTCGGAAAATGGACGTCGCCAAGGGCACAACGGAGGACTTTGTGACGGTGGTCAGCGTCGGCAATCAGCTGACGTCGGAGAATTTCGTGACAGTTCTGTCGATCGGAAACGGAAAGAAGAGCGATGTCGAAGAATCATCGGGGTTGAGCACGAACGGAACGGCGAACGGGATGGACGGACACCTCGAGGAAGAGGTCGAGGTTTTCAGACTGCCCGGAGAACGTCTGGGTTTCGGACTCAAATTCGAGGGCGGAAATAAGACGTCCGAGAGGGTGAGAAGACTCTTCGTGCAGAGCTGCGCGGAGCAAAGTCCTGCGAGTAGAGCCAAGTGTTCGTGGGGCACTTTAGGCGAAGGAGACGAGGTAATAAAAATATTTTTTTGTGTACTTTCGATCATTCCATAGTTATTCTCCCGAGAAAAGATCTTGGATGCGCGATAGCGAAGCTTTGCTTTCTTAATCCTGTTTCTCCCCTCGTTAACGAAAGGCTAATAACATCGGCCGCTTTCGCTGAAATGATATTTCGTGCCGTAACACGCGTATAACGAATTCAAGAAAGTAGCATTCATGAACATGTATGATTTCATTCAATCTTAACGTGAAATCTATCGCGCGTCATTACGTGTCGCTTTCAATTACGGAACCGGCAGGTTTCTTCTGCAATGGATAAGGATCACAATGACTAGTCGCGAGATTCCTACTGGTATTTCATTGAATCGGTGTAATGAGTGACGTGCAATTATTCGCACGCATCGGGCCGCGACGCGCCTGTACCTGTGGCGTAATGTCAGCTTGAAAGAAGGTCTTTCTCTCGCGTACTACTCTCGAATTTACGTACTCGCCCCCAACATATTTTTCTCTAGAAAAAAAGATTAACTATAATCGCATCACACATCCACCGCGCCGTGTCTAAAATTAAGGTCGCGAATTATGGGAATATAATTTATGCGTCTAGCGTATTTGCATTTTGTGGAACAGCCGCGAAGCAAGATGCTGTAAATGCACTCTTCCTCCGACTCCCACGGTGCACTCCGTCATCCATATGATTTTCAAGAAACCTACTTCCTGCGTAATAACTCTCGAGTGCGCTTTCCTCTCGCCTCCTTTGCTTGTTTACATTACAAATTATTTGCGGGCAGTAATAGACATGTCTATTTTACGCAGACCCCACAATCATGTTACGTATCTCTCTCTAGGTACTTTCAATCGATGGCATACCGGTGACACACATGACCCGATTGGATTGCGTGAGGAGGCTGAAGGAGTCGCAGTTGGTCATCAGGCTAATGGTGAGATGCCGCGGCGCTCTTAGGCCCGAAGTGGTGAGCGCCGAGAGAAAAATCGAACGAAACAAAGTACCGCCGGAATTACCCGCGGCTCCTCCTCCGGTACCGCCGCGGAAGCTGAGGCAGCCTCGAGGACCCGCAGACGGCGAAGCGAATCCTAGTCCTGTCAAAAAATTATGGGACCCGAAATCGCAGAACGGATCGCCGACCGTTTCGCAGACCGGAAGTACGAAAATGAGCTTGTACGAGAGTTGCGAATCCTCGCCGAGAAGCGTCAACGGATCGTTGCATCAAGAGACCGCGAAGGAATCAGCGAAGTCGAAGCAGGTTGTAATCGGATAAAAAATTAATTTAAAATTAAAAAAAATTGATACATGAAATTAAAATGAAATGAATGATGTAAGAAGACTTTATCCTTCTTCCTCTGACTGAAAAGAGATCTTTGTCTTTCCAGGAACCGCCGGAAGCGATGGTTTATCTGGACGCGCGATCGCAGTGCGGCTCCACGCACGGCAGCACGTCCGACGACACCGGCAGCTCCATGTCTACCGTGATGGATAGATTCTCGACGATGTCCGATCGCGTGTCGACCATCTCTACGGCGTCCACGGCGTCTACCACCGGCTCCGATCGAGACCTCGATCGATCCTCGTCCGACCGGGACGTGCTGCTATCGCGAGCGATCTGCCCGCTCGAGATGCTCGAGCGGGAGTTCTCGAACCCGCCCGATTACCTGTTACGTCGTCTCGCCAGTTCCGAAGCGGTGACGCACGTGGAGTCGCGAGGCGAAGTCGAGCGTATCACGGCGGTGGTCGCGCCGAACACGGTGCTGATCGAGGAAACCATCACTCTTCAACCGCCGCTCAGTTTCCAGGACGCTCCGTTGAGCTACGGACACGAGGCTAGACCGGACCTCTTCTACACGGCCGACCTGGCCGCCGATTCGACGACGCATTTCCGGCCAATTAAGGATGACGTGGAACTCGTGGAGCGCGTCAACGGTAGCGTTCACGAGGAAAGGAGTAACGGCGTCAGATCGTCTTCGCCGCCGCCGTTGCCGGCTAGAAATCATGTTAACAGGATCTGCGTGAATCAGACGAATGAATCTAGAAAGGACGCGCGAATCTCACCTTCGGAAGCTCCTCTGTTACCACCGAAGCCGCTGCCGAGGAAAGACGTCAAGGCTAGACGGAAGAGACCACCTCCGCCGCCTCCACCGCCGATTATTGCTCCACGAAGAGAGATCAAATCTTCACCATCGATCCAATCGAATCATCTAACGGAGAAGGAAGACGTTTCGCAAGCCGAAAGCGTAGAGTGTGTTCAATCAGGATCATGCGAATCATCATTGAGTAGAAGCAACGTTTTCCACCAACTTTCGACTCGAGAAATCGAAAATTCAGATGGAAAAAACGATAGGGAAACTAATACGAAGTTCGCTTGTCTTGACGATGAGGAAGACAAAGTTGCAAGTTCGAGGGAAGACACACAAACGAACAAAATATTGGAAATTATCGAAATCAGGATGGCCAAAGGTATGCAGCTTAATCAGAAGGAGGAGATCGCAAGGAATGACACAAACAATACTTTGGAAACGACGAATTGCGAGCAGAATGGAATTAAGGATAAAGTAACAGGTGGAAATATAGATTCAGATCAATCGCAATCTACGAATACTTTGAGTCAAATTTCGATGGAACAAGATTCGAATTTAGAACTGATCGATGAACGCGTCGACGAGTCAGATAGCGAAAAGGGGAAGCATCTTAATTCAGAAGATCTTTATCGAGAAGGAACACGGACAAGTGACGGAGATACTTTCGAGGAAACACTTTCGTTACACACGGAAAATACTTTATCGATCGATAATTCTACGCTGAGAGATAGCGAGGATGACGAAACATATCGCTCGTTGGACGAGATAAATGACGATATAAAAACTCCAGATGTAAATCGCTTGTTGGAGGACGAGGAAATTGTAGAAGAAGGCGACACAACCGACGAAAGCGACGACGGGGATTATTACTGGCAGAGCAATCTCGCTACTATCGGCGAAGAGGAGGAGACTTCCTTGGAGTATGTAAACGCGTAAGTTTATAATTATATATTTCAATCTCTCAATGTAGAAATTATTGTTCGATAAGCTATTATTATTTCACAAAAAGACACGTCCTTTTTATCATAAAAAGGGGGATGACCATTTCCCGTAAATTATTTTCTCGCAATTTTCAGACATTTGCTATTAGAGTTGCAAAAAGAGCTATTTTACGTGTTATTATACGGGATCTGTTAAATAAGCTTTGTTACAAATCATAAAAGTAATTAAATATATTATTAACATTTTAACTAGCAAAAGAAATTTAATTATAATTAATAAAATATTCATGATGAAATACATATGTAATATCTATTGTGATAGAAGTGCGAATTAGGCCATTGAGAGAGAAAATAGACTATCAAATATTTCTCAATATATTTATTCAAATTTAAGATTATTTCTTCCAAATCATTAAATATAAATTTGATGTCAAAATTGACAAATTCAAAATAATAAATCTTACAATTAGTAAAAAAACTAAAGTTTTTTAAAAGAATTTCTCGTTGTGGTGTGTGATATCGTCGTTTTAAATCCGTCAATTTTTTGACATTTAATTTATATTCAGCAATCTAAAAAACTTTTATATGTTTAATTCGCAATTTTCCATGTCATAGACTTCATATTTAATTATGAATATCTTGTAAATTGTAATCGATAAAACAAATTCCTTTAAAGTAAAAAATCCTAACAACATATATATTTAATATTGATTTACAATAAAATATCCAACACGTCATAACATTAAAAGAGCCCCTTTTTGTAACTTTAAATATTTTCTCAAAATTATAAATAAGATAAATTGTGAATATTATTAATAGACAAATTTCAAAGTTGAAATCTTTTTCAGTGTTAAAAAACTGCGAGAAATAATTATTCTATTTTTTTGTATGTGTTTTTTTGTAAACTATAAAATTGCATAAATAAAATTCTAATATATAATATTAAAAGATTCACGGGATTCGTACACTCCACTTTCGCTACACGTTGCATCTCAAAACCCTCTGTTAATATTAATGTGCAATGCGAAGAGCAATTACAATTGTGTACAGAGTTAATCAGGATAATTCCGCTTATTTGCTCGAGCAAAGTATACGATGAGATAAATCGCTGGGAATTGTGTCGAGAAATATATGACTGTAGATGTGGCGCAGCGCGCAGGCGAATAAATCCTAAAAAGAAATGAATTCACTTTCCTCATCATCGGTTACCTGCCGGCATGTGGAGAAAAGGTTAATTGACCGTTCTAAGAATAGGAAAGAGGGCTGTCGATTACTGGGAATCGAACACCACCGAGTCGTTCGACTCGACCGTCCCACGGAGGTGAACGCCTCCATGCAAATGCTCGACATTTGCTTATTGCTTCGAACAGCAATCTCTCCTTCTTTGCATGACGTTGCAATCGTCTCTTTTAAACTTATCTGAATAGCGAATTGCCGCTTATTAAAGTCTTCAATAGGTCTCCCCGGCGTTAAAACGTAACGGGTTATATATCATTAATTATTTGATATAGCGTTTAGAATTTTTGTTATCTTTTACATTGCACGCGCGGTTACACAAATGTAATAAGGGATCAAATACAAAGAGAGTATAGCCGTTTTTTTCTAAGCAACCTGAAAGAGATATTTTCTTCGATCTGTTGCAGCAACGCGAACGATTCCAGCAACCTGGTAGCAGAGCCGGAAAAATCGTCTCCCGCAATCAAGAAAGATGCATTCGTTAATAACGGTAAGTCCGTTTCTGCTAGTATATTAATTAAACTCTTAATTAACTTGACTTAAAATACGATTTAAGCCAATAAAGTGCAATTTATCCAATTAACGCAAGAATGCGAGGCCAGCGCGGAACGATTAGAGATCCGCTCGCTAATAGCAAAGGCAACAAATCAAGCATTTGTGTCGATTGAAGCTGACCGCGTAAAAAAAATTAGCACTCGTCAATCGGGGCGACCTTGAGCCGATTAATTAACCGATCTCGCTTTCGATAGCGTCATCGTAGATATCTATCTTATCGGAGCATCTTTCGACTGACAAGGAGAGTGTCATCATAATCAAGGGAACGCGAGAACGCGCGAAAGTCAACATTGAACAGGGAATTCCGAAAAATGTCCGGGTGCAAAAGAGCCGGAGGACACCCGGTATACGCGCCCACGCTACCGTGGAGCATTATAAAGGTTACGCATTAATCACCTTGCGTTACGCGCTATAGCCGGTATACGGTCTCCGGTTTCGCGCGGGCGCGAATGCATTCACAACGGAGGCAGGCCGGGCAAATCGAGACAAAGGCGTATATATGAGGCGCGCCTTCCTCTCTCGCCGGGAGAGATTCTTATATATTCACCGACGTGCATTCCGCTATTTTTTTCGCGCGGATGACTACACGCGCGATTCCTTCCTCGCGATATACAAAACGCACGGAGTCTTCAAGACCGAGATGCCTTTCGACCGCTTGTTCTGTGCTGGAAAGACTTTGTTGTTGTCGGCATAGATATCCCGATGCTTTGGCGATTTAATAAATATTTTTGGCTACTTCTCTTTTTTACAGTAAAATATCTATATTTAATTTTTTACAATATATACAATCTGTATTTAATATACATATATACTCGTATAAAATTTAAATTGTAACTAATTTTAACTTTATTTTATCTTTCGCTCTATTTTGTTTTTATCCTTATCAATGGTTAAATAGTTTATAAAAAACCAGGCGCTACGATGTTTTATTTTTATCATCGAAAAATCTCAGCGTTCAAAATACCTTCAGAAAACATTCTCATATTATGTCGCCAAAGTCATTGAAATTTTCTCTCACATATGTTCCTTGTAATTTATTTCTACATCTACTACTTGAAGAAATTTTTCCGCGATTTTCCGTGGACATAGAAGTGCTTATCTTCAATGAGATATTTGCGTAATATCTGCTTTTCGCGAGAACCTCCCGTTTAAAGAGACACGTTGTTATCCCGCACTATCATCTCTCGTCTCACCGCAAACTGTACAAGGGAAAAATAAGTATTCATCTCGTCAATGTAGATCGATGATCGATCGATCGAGAAATGATAATCTTGGTGTAAAAGTACAGGAAATCGTGCAGCCGAGTTTGTGCGATAATAATAATTTCGCGCGAACGGTGAAGTATATATTATATCAAAAGCAATGATACGGGGCACACACACATCAATCATAATATATAATAGGTGTACAGCCTCTCGCTCTCTTCCTCTCTACGCATTTTTTTCTATATATAAGATAAATGTGTATACGTATATTAGAAAAAATTCGAAGAGGAACAAAGAAGTTTACTATAATGAAGGGAATTATGCGCGAGAGTAGATAATAAACATGTTCGTATACGATAATTAATTTGCACGGTACTTTTTTTTTAGAGACGTATCGCGCTCACGCACGTTTTGCAACATCAGTACCGCGACTTGGTATAATTTTCTAACGACGAGTTTTTGCTTCCCGCGCGATGTCGACATCACTTTTATATAGATGCACGGCATCTCTCTCTCTTTCTCTCTCTGCATATTTTTTTTCTCTCTTCTTGCAACGCGAATGGCGCGATTCATGAAGCGAAACGCATATACGATGAAAGAGTGGATATATCCAACGGAGGAGACTTCATACCGTAGCCGGACGCTTTGCGTTAAGCGGAAAATAAGGAAATTCCTCCGCTCGAACGGGATGGATTCCCGGCCACCAGGTGGGTGTGAGAACAAAACCGTTAAGAGAATAATTCGAGAATCGCCTAGCAAGCGCGAGAGCTCTCTATGCTCGTATCGTCGACGAAGCTGCGGTGTATGTATTCTCTCGCGCGCGATGAGTTTCGTATTAAACGCCAAAATTTACGATCAGGCAAACCTGCCATTTAAACCGCGATCATTTTTTTCTAATAAATAAATATCGTCGGACATTCGTTTCTCAATTAAATACAAAATTCATTACGTAACCTCCTCGAACCTATATAAGTACGCGAAAACATATATATCAATTTAAATTTCTTTTATCACAACTATAACATTTTCAAATTATACATCAGCAAGATCAGCTGTTGAAGTCATAAATTGTTTTATAAAATTAAAGCGGATTTCAAACTCGAGTTTTGTGATTATTTTATAGGGTTATCATTACATCTAAATTAAAAATATACTGATTATATAACGAATGATCCCAGGCTAGATATTTTATTGAAGTCGTAGCGTTGTACGCAATGTGTCATTATACGCTCCGATATTGAGTAACTAAATGAGAACACGTCGACGATTCCCAAGTTCTCCCAAGTTAATTATCATGTATAGCCAACTTTTTTTGTTCCGTGACATTTTGCGACGATCGATTCACACACATCCGTTATAAGAGATGGACACGGTTGATCGTGGGTCCAGCAAAGCTCACACCAGTCACAACAATATGGCAGCTGGTCAGCGGTCCCAAGCCGCAGCCTCCAAGTCGTCCAAGTCTCCTCCAGTGGCTGACCGCGCTCAAGGTCCCATTCCCCCTTAATCGCCTACCTTTTCTCGATCTTTCACTTGGTTTACTTCCAATCGAAGAGACGGTGATCTCTGACGCATATATACTTGCGTACTGACGTATGTCTGTATATACGCGCGATCGCAGAAGACAGCATTCCACAACGCAATCAAACCACAGGGCCCTCTCTGTATGTACGTAGTAGTAAACTGACCCAAAGATAACAAACATCAGTATAAGAATCGATCGGAATAGCCTATACAAATCTAACTGCCACATCGGCATCGATTGTTCTCTCACCGAAATAGCCCCTTCAAATTTCTTCAATGCCGAAATCTCTCCTTGAGATTGATACGTTGTTATTTTACGTCAATATTTCTTGGAAACGATCTTTGAAGAGAGAGAGAAAGGGAGAGAGGAAGAAAGAAAAAAATGTTTATTTTGAATTTGAATTTAAATAATTATACCAACATTATTATTAGTAAATCGATGACTCGAAGAAAAATACAACGCCACGATTGTTTAAGATATAGATTGATTTTACGTCGCCTCGAGCAAAGAGGAATGAAAAATGAGGATCGTTAATGTATAACATGCCACTGTGCGATCGCTCGTTTTAGATCTTCATCTCGGGTTCGTTTGCGAAGCGGTTCGCTCGTTTACATTGCGCAATTATACGACCTAAAAATATACACAAACAGAAAAGTAACATTCCGTAATTTCAACCGAACCGTGCATTAACGACTGGCTCTTAAGAGGATCGACCTTTCCCAGGCAATCCGACGCCCGTTTCAATTTGCGATTGCAAAGAGCGATGATTAGTCTTGACCTCCCGAGGGAAGCTTTCGATCTCGAAGTAATTAGCGGATATTGATACTGGCGAAGCGCTTTCTGTTAAACTCGTTGACGTGCATAAATTTTCCGGACAGCCACCATTTTGCTCTGCCATCCCAGATAAAACAGCCTTAAGATTATTTGCGCGCGACGTCAATTTTAATCTACGATCGTAGCGGATCGCAATCTCGAATTACATAGAAAATGATGCGCCATTCAGAATTCAACGGAACATTCGCGGATATGCGTGCCTTATACAAAACCCACGATCGAAGATTATCTGCGTATAGAATAACGGATCAGAATGTTATTTGGACAAATCGAAAAAAAAGAAACAGAATAAAATATAAATTAAATTACAATTTTCACTGAACAAACGATACAGTTTTTCATACTCTGAAATTTTTTCCTCGTAATTTAACATTTAGAAAAATTGACGGATGAAAACGCGATAATATTGTAAGACGAATTGTGATCACTCAGTTGAATTTCGCGAGGCGATTCTCCGCGAGAGAACCGGGTCACGTTTTGCCACGTTCGTGTGTCGAAAGAATTCCGTATTCGATCTGACTCGCAAAGTACACTTAATGCGTCCGATCGAACGAGCTGCATTCCATCGCGCCAGCTCGAACGGTGCATGAACGCGGTATGAACCCGCCTAAAGATGACTCGCCCCCTCTCGTTCAAGATCGACCGGTATCAACGAATTCAACGGAGCGCTTCTCGCGGCCGTTGAACGTTGAAAATTATGATCGCGGAGCTGGAAGTCGTGAATTACGTCACTTTGCGCATTTATTAGAAGAGAGTAGAGATAGGCACACATTGCATTTTCTAGATATCGGGTCGCTTGAGAGAATCGATATTGAAAAGAGTTGCATAGTTATTGTTATTCATTCGATACGAGAGAGAGAGAGAGAGAGAGAGATTGCATCACAGAGAGGAAGAAGGATAGATATTTCAGTTGGTCGGGAGAGTCGGGTCAGCTGCGATTTGAAAGGATCTACTATGCGCCTACATAGGCATATCGAGATCCGAGAGACGACATTCCGTTGCCGGCAACCCGGAAGCGATCCTCGTGCAGCGACGTCGATATAATTAGTTACGATATGCCTCATACTTAACATGCGTAGAGATCGATCCGCAAAGCCGACGAGCGACAGGATTAACTTGCACGTCGAAAAAAAAAACGCTAATCGTTCGATCGGAGATAATGTATAAATAAATGTACGGTTACATCTTCCTGCAACGCATCTCGTTCGTTTTGTGTAACACCCGTTCTTTGTGTAAAATATTTCCATATGGTTTTTTTACGGCTACGAATCGATTATTGCGAAACCGCGATTTATACGATCAAATTCTTAGGTGAAATTATATATACTCGAATGTAATGAATAATTAAGCAATTAAAAATCTTTTCGTTAT